TGCTGCTGTTGCTTCTGCTGCTGCTGCTGCTGCGGTGTTTCTTATGGGTGTTTGCGTTACTATTGCTGCTGCTGCTGTTGCTGCTGTTGCTGCTGTTGCTCTGCTGCTGCAGGTCCCGGGTACGGCGAAGTGCTGCAGCAGCAACTCCTGCAGCAGCAGCAACAGAAGGCAGCGATGCAAGTCAGCAGCAGCACGGCAGCACCACCAGCAGGGCCCCCAAGAAGGCGAGGTCTGTCCGTAGAAATGCTTAATGCTGCTGCTGCTCCTGCTGCCTCTTTGCTGCTGCTGCTGCTGCTGCTTTGCTGCAGCAACGATTTAGTAGTGGTGCACAAACACATGCAGCAGTTGCAGCAGCAGCAGCTGCTGCTGCAGCTGCTGCTGCAGCTGCTGCTGCAGCTGCTGCAGCTGCTGCATTTCAGAGTTGCTGAGTGTCTCTGCTGTATCTGGGGATGAACAGCCGCAGCAGCAGAAGCAGCAGAAGCAGCAGCAGCAGCAGCAGCAGCAGCAGCAACTGCAGCAAATACCTTTGAATGCCTTTAGTGGTAATTTATATTATTTATTTATTTATTTATTTTATTTAATTAGTATTTTATTCCTTTATTCCTTTTCTCTGCTATATAGCTAGCTAGCTAACTAGGCACCTTAGTACAGCTAGCTAGCTATATAGCTAGCTAGCTAGTTTGTTAGTTAGTTAGCTAGCTAGCTAGCTAGCTAGCTAGCTAGTTAGCTTGCTAGCTATTGTGCCCGTCTGTCTTTCTCTGCTCGGCGGCGCTGGCTAGCTACTGGCTATCTGTACCTTCTTATGCATCAGGCATACCTAGCTAGTTAGCTAGCTAGCCAGCTAACCAGCCAGCTAGCTAGCTAGTTAGCTAGCTAGCTAGCTAGCTAGCTAGCTAGCTAGCTACCCATATATTTCCTCAACAATCTATTTAGCCATTTACTTAGTAATTTTTGTTAGCTAAAATGCCAGTTATTGACTTGGCTAGCTAGCTAGCTAGCAAGCTAGTTAGCTAGCTAGTTAGCTAGCTAGGTAGCCAGCTAGCTAGGTAGCTAGCTAGGTAGCTAGCTAGCTAGCTAGCTAGCTAGCTAGCTAGCCAAGCCTAAAGAAATCCGAGCCAAGTTATAAGGAGGGATTTATTGCGCTGCAGTAAGAAGATACGTACTTCATGCTACCGCCACCTGCTGCTGCTGCTGCTAGCGCAGGCTGCTACTAAGGGCATATAAGAAAAAAGAAAATACAAAAATCCTTAACAGCCCTATCTATCTAAGAAAAAAAAAAGACAAGAGGAGTGTCAAGGAGCAGCAGCAGCAGCAGCAGCAGCAGCAGCAACAGCAGCAGCAGCAACAGCAGCAGCAGCAACAACAACAGTAACTGTTGTTGCTGTTGTTGTTGCTGCTGCTACTGTTGCTGCTGCTGCTGCTGCTGCTGCTCCTTGACAGAGAAGAGAAGAGAGAGACAGAAAAAGACAATCTATGCACATCTAACTAACACTCACCTGTTCCTATTGCATGCATGCATGCATGCATGCATGTATGCATGCATGCATGCATGCATGCATATATTATAGATGTATATCTGTGCAATTTTTACGACAAGTACCCAAGAGGGAATAACAGCAAATAGGTCTAAGAGCATTATCTCCTCCTAGTACTTCTGCTAGCTGCTTCTGCTGCTGCTGCTGCTGCTGTTGCTGCTGCTGCTGTTGCTGCTGCTGCTGCTGCTGCTGCTGCAGTGTAGTTAGACCACTAAGGTCCCAATGACTTAATGCTGAGGTGTATGTGCAGGTCTCTAATTGTCTTTGTATTTGTTCTTCTTGTGACGAAGATACACAAAACCATTTAGGTAAGGAATGCTGCTTCCTGCTGCTGCTGCTGCTGCTGCTGCTGTTGCTGTTGCTGCTGCTGCTGTTGATGCTGTTGCTGCTGCGACTGCCGTTCGTGCGAGTGTCTCTCTTACGCTTCTTCTCAGGCAAAGGGAGGATCTCCTCGTCCTCTCTTGCTGCTGCTGCTGCTGCTGCTGTTGCTGCTGCTGTTGCTGCTGCTGTTGCTGCTGCTGTTGCTGCTGCAGCAGTAGGAGACAGAGAGATCATAGTCACGCCTGCAGTCGCTTCTGAGCTACTACTGCTGCTGCTGCTGTTGTTGCTGCTGCTACTGCTGCTCTTGCTGTTGCTGCTGCTGCTCGTTGTGTCTCGTTTCCCCTCACCTTGAATCGTGACAACTCTTGTAGGCTCAGCAGCTGCTGGTGCAGCAGCAGCAGCAGCAGCAGCAGCAGCAGCAACAGCTGGTGCTGCGACACTTGCAGCAGCAGCTGCTGCTGCGGCTGCATGTGCATGGGCGCGAACCCTGCCTGCTGCAGGCATAGCAGCAGCAGCAGCAGCAGCAGCAGGACCAGCAGCAGGCGGCGCAGTTGTATCTGGTGTAGCTGCTGCTGTTGCTGGTGTTGCATTGGGCGCTGCTGGTGTTGCTGCATTTGCTGCAGCAGCAACAGCAGGAGTAGCAGTTCTAGCTGCTGCAGCTGCTGCTGCTAATGTTGCTGCTGCTGCTGCACCTGCATGTCTTGCTGCTAGACGAATTAGCTGCTGCCTCCTCTCCTGCAGTCTCCTGTTTGCCTGCTGCAGCTGTCGAGTAACAGCAGCCTGAACAGAGCAACGTTGGGGTGTACATACACCTCAGAAGACGGAGGCTTCCAGCTGCTGCTGCTGCTGCAGGAGCAGCAGCAGCAGCAGCAACAGGAGGAGGAATGCAGCAGGAGAAGCAACAGCAAGAAACAAGGCAGGAAAAACAACCAGCAGCCCATAAACAACCCCGCCTTGACAATGCAGCAGCTGCTGCTGCTGCAGCATCTGCTGCTGCTGCTGCTGCTGTTGTACCAACCTGTTCTTGTTATTGCCGCTGCTGCTGCTGCTGCTGCTGTTGCTGCTGCTGCTGTTGCTACAGCTGCTGCTGCTGCTGCTGCTGCACGAAGCCATCGAGCCCTCAATACAATATCTATCTGTTACCAGGCAGCAAACTTCCTAAGTGCTGCTGCATGCAGCAACTGCTGCTGCAAGCACCAACTGCTGCTGCAGTAGCCCAACTTGCTGCTCCTGCTGCTGTGCGGCCGTAGAAATAGCACCTAATGCAGCAGCAGCTACTGCAGCACCAGCCAGCAGCATCATGGCACTAGCAGCAGCAGCAGCAGCAACACAACTACAATCAACAGCAGCAGCAGCGCATGCATTTAACAGCAGCAGCATAAGAAAAGACAGCAGCAGCACATCTTGTGCTGCTCAAGAAAAAACAGCAGGAAAAAGCAAAAAAAAAAACAACAGCCAGCAGCAGCAACAGCAGCAGCAGCAACAGCAGCAGCAGCAGCAACAGCAGCAGCAACAGCAGCAGCAACGACAGCAGTAGCAGCAGCAAGAAGCATAAATCCGTAACAATTACTCACTCTCTCTGCTAGTGTCTTCTCTATGTCTCCTTTTGCTGCATCAAGCTCCCGCTGCAGCAACTTTGTTTTTGCTGCTGCTGCTGCAGCACGTGCATGCAGCAGCGCATCTAGTGTCTCTAATCTTGCAACATTGGCATGCAGCTGCTGCAGCTCCGCCTGCAGAGACACCCCACGAATGCTGCTGCTGCTGCTGCTGCTGCTGCTGCGGTTGTCTGGGGTAGTTCGTGCGTCAGCAGAAGTAGCTCTTATATTCCTAGCTTGCTGCAGTTGCTGCAGTTGCTGCTGCTGCTGCTGAGTCTGCCGCTGCTGCTCCTCGGGTGTTATCCTATTAGCCATAACTCGTGCTGCAGCAGCTGGTGAAGTTGCAGCAGCAGCAGCAGCTGCTGCTGCTGCTGCAGCTGCTGCTGCTGCCGCGGGCGTAGCTGATGGAGTGCTTGTTGCTGCAGCAGCCCTTGCTGCTAGTGCTGCAGGAGCAGGAGCAGCAGCAGCAGCAGGTCTAGCAGCAGAAACTGTTGCAGACGTTGCTGTTGACGGTGTTGCTGCAGCAGCAGATGCAACATTAGCAGCAGCAGCAGCTGCTGCTGTTGCTGGGGGTTCTCTAGCTGCTGCTGCTGCTGCTGCTGTTTCATGTACAGCACTCTGCTTCAATACCAAAGACTGCTGCTGTTGCTGTTGCTGCTGCTGCTGCTGCTGCTGCTGCTGTTGCCGTTGCTGCTGTTGCTGCTGCTGCTGTTGCTGCTGCGCGTCACGTTCTTGCTGCTTTTGCTTCGCTAGTTGCCGCAAGTGCTGCTGCCGTTGCCGCAGTTGCTGTTCCTGTTGCTGCTGGTCCTGTTGCTGCTGCAGCAGCTGCTGCTGTTGCTGCTGCTGCTGCTCGTGCACCTCGTCCTTATCAAAGACAACAACAAGAGACTCCGCATCGACCCATACAAGCGACGGGCTCCTTTGCTGCTGCTGCTGCTGCTGCTGCTGCAGTTGCTGCTGCTGCTGCTGCTGTTGCAGTTGCTGCTGCTGTTGCAGTTGCTGCTGCTGTTGCAGTTGCTGCTGCTGCTGCAGTTGCTGCTGCTGCTGCAGTTGCTGTTGCAGTTGTTGATGCTGCTCCTCCTGCTTCTGTTGTTGATTCATTTGCTGCTGCTGTTGCTGCAGTTGCTGCTGCTGTTGCTGCAGTTGCTGCTGTTGTTGCTGGACTTGCTGCTGTTCTTGGATTTGCTGCTGTTGCTGCACTTGCTGCTGTTGTTGCTGTTGTCCCTCCTGCGTCTGGTTCTGTTGGTGCCGCTGCTCCAGCAACTGTTGCTGTTGCTGCTGCTGTTGCTGCTCCTTTTGCTGCTCCTGCTGCTGCATTTGCCTCAGCTCGCGGAACTGCTGCACACGCTGCAGCTTCAGCAGCACTTGCTGCCGTGTCTCCAGTTGCTGCTGTTGCTGCTGTTCCTGTACTTGCTGCTGCTGCTGCTGCTGCTGCTGCTGCTGCTGCTCCTGAGGAACTTGTTCCTGCCGCTCCTGCTGCTGCAGTCGCCGCTGCCGCAGCAGCCGCATCCTCTGCTGCGCTGCAGCAGAAAGCTGCGAAAAAAAGCTCTTCTCTACTCCTGCTGGTGCTGCTGTTTCTGCTGCTGCTGCTGCTGCTGCTGCTGCTGCAGCGGGAGCAGCAGCACCTGGGGCATCACTCGCAGCCGGTGGTGTATCGGATGCTGAGACAGCTTCCTCTGCTGCTGCTGCTGCTGCAGCAGCAGCAAGAGGAAGGGCCGCAACACCAGCAGATGGATCAGCAACAGCAGCAGCAGCAGCAGCTGCTGCTGCTGCTGTTGCTGCATTCTCATCTGCTAAAACAGGGACAGCAGCAACCGTCCCCAAATCTGCAGCAGAAGCAGGTGCGATAGCAGCAGCAGCAGCAGCTGCTGCTGCTGCTTCCTTAGCTGCTGCATCAGGTGCTACGCGGTCAGCTGCTGCTGCAGCCACAGGACAGCCTACAGCAGCAGCAGCAGCAGCAGCAGGCTCATTTTCTAGCCCTGTTGCTGCGGCGTTCGCAGCAAATATATGATTTGCTTCTGTTGCTGCTGCTGCTGCTGCTGCTGGTGCGTCAGCAGCAGCAGCTTCGTCAGCTGCTTCAGCAACAGGTGCATGCGCTGATAATAATTCCTTAGCAGCAATGCCCGCAGTGTGCGCTGCTGCTGCTGCTGCTGCAGCAGCAGCAGCAGCAGCAGAAGCAGGAGCAGCTCCATCTGCTGCAGCAGCTGTTGTTATTGCTGCTGCTGCTGATGGCGGAGGCGAACATGCGTGCTGTAAGCGCTGTTGCTGCTGCTGCTGTTGCTGCTGCTGCTGCTGCTGCTGCTGCTGCTGGTCTCCAGCAGCAGATCCTTGCCGCTGCGCTGTCTGGCGACTGCTGCCCCATCGGCTCTTCTTGAGTTTGCTGCTGCTGCTCATCGCCAAAGGAGGGGTTGTGCTGCTGCTGTTGCTGCTGCAGCTGCTGCTTCTATTGTTGCTGCTGTTGCTGCTGCTACTGCTGCTACTATTGCTGCTGCCGTTTATGGTGGCACTGGAATCACACAATCCAGCAACACCATTCTGCTGCTGCTGCTGCTGCTGCTGCTGCTGCTGCAGCTGTTGCTGCTGCTGCTGCTCCAGTCTATGTGATGCATCAGACCCACTTGGCCTGCTGCTGCTGCTGCTGCTGCTGTTGCTGCTGCTCCTGGTCTTGCTGCTGCTATTATGCGACAAGTCTGCTTCCTGTTGTGCTTGCTGCCTCTGCTTTTCCTCTCGGTGCTGCTGCTGCTGCAGCAGTTTGTGCTGCATCCGCAGCAGCAGCTGCTGCTGGTGGTGCTGCTGCGTTGGCTGCTGCTGCTGCTGCTGCACTTGCTGCTGTTGTGTCTGCTGCACATCAGGTTGGGGAGGCAGAGGTCCATTCTTACCGTCAGGTGCTACTAATGTCTGCTGCTGCTGCTGCTGCTGCTGCTGCTGCTGTGGCTCTTGCAGGTCTCCCTGCAGCGGCTGGTGCACCCGCTGCAGGTGTTGCAGCTGCTGCTGTGGCTGCTGCTGCTGCTGCTGCTCCGGCGGCTCCTGCTGCATCTGCTGCTGTGCATCGTGGTGCTGCTCTAGCTGTTGCTGCTGCGGCGGCTGCTGTTGCTGCTGCACTGCTTGAAATTGCTGCTGTTGCTGCGGCGGCCTCTGTTCTTGGTGCAGTGCTTGCTGCTGCTGCTGCCGTTGTTGCTGCTGCTGCTGCTGCTGCTGCTGCTGCTGCTGCTGCTGAGCAACCCAGCTTGCGGTGACTGCAGGCAAACGGCGGAGCGTTTGCTGCAGCAACTCCAGTGGCAGCGGCTGCTGCAGCAGCTGCTGCAGCTGCTCCTGTATGTACAACTGCTGCTGCAGCTCGCTTTGGTGCTGCTGCTGCGGTTGCTGTTGCTGCTGCAGCTGTTCTTTCTGCTGCTGCTGTTGCTTCTGCTGCTGCTGCTTCTGCTGCTGCTGCTTCTGCTGCTCCGGGCCGTTATGCGGCGCTTCGCATATCTGCCGTTGCATCTGCTGCTGCTGTGGCTGCTGCTGCTGCTGCTGCAGCAGCAGTTCATGCGGCTGGCGCTGCTGCCACAGGTCCTCGCCGCCTACTAGCTCGTCAAATGGATGCTGCTGCTGCTGCTGCTGCTGCTGCGGGTGTTGCTGCTGCTGCAGTTGCTGCAGTGGCTGCTGCTGCATGTAGTCACATTGCTGCTGCTCTTGCGGCATATAAGAGATGCTGCAACTATTTTTGCTGCTGCTGCTGCTGCAGCTTCTGCTGCTTCTATTGCTGCAGTTGTTGCTGCAGCTATTGCTACTTCTATCAGCGCAGCTGTACTTGTTGCTGCTGCTGCTGCTGCTGCTGTTGCTGCTGCTGTCCTGTATGCTGCATGCATCAGCAGCAAACTTTACGGGCATAACGTGACGGCTGCTGCTGCCATAGTTGCTGCTGCTGCTGCTGCTGCCGTAGTTGCCGCTATAATTGCTGCTGTTGCTGCCATAGTTGCCGCTATAATTGCTGCTGCTGCTGCTGCTGCTGCTGCTATAATTGCTGCTGCTGCTGCTGCTGCTGCTGTACGGATAAGGAGGCGGCACTCGAGGCGGGCTGCGTCTATATTCTCTTATGCTGTATCCTCCCTTGCTGCTGTAGCTGCTGCTGCAGTTGCTGCTGCAGTTGCTGCTGCAGTTGCTGCTGTAGCTGCTGCTGTAGTTGCCGCTATAGCTGCTGCTGCTGCTGCTGTCGTAAGGATACGGGGAGCGATACAGTCTACTGTTGCTGCTGTTGTAACATTTGCTGCTACCGTTGCTGCTGCTGCTGCTGCTGCTGCTGCTGCAGTGCTGCGACGGATCTCTTGGATGCTGCGCAGGAGGCCGCAAGGGTTGCCAGCTGCTGCTGCTGCTGCTGCAGCGCCTCTCTGTTTCATAGTGATCAGGGGGGCATACAAATCTGCTGCTGCTGCTGTTGCTGCTGCTGTTGCTGCTGCTGTTCCTGCTGCTGCTGCTGCTGCTGCTGCTGCTGCTTCGGTACCTTCCATCGTACACTGTTGAGCCACTTGCAAAGACAAGACGACAAACAGCAGTGCTGCCGCTATATCGCGGGTTGCTGCTGCTGCTGCTATTGCTGCTGCTGCTGCTGCTGCTGCTGCTGCTTGGAGTGGGGTTGCTAGTACTCCTGTAGTAAGCAGGAGGTCCCCTCTCTCCCCTGTGTTGCTGCGGCAGCAGACGAGAGTTGTCCATCCTGCAGCAGCACGATGCGTGCTGCGCTGCTGTTGCTGCTGCTGCTGCTGCTGCTGTTGCTGCTGCTGCTGCTGAGCGGCTACAGGAGCAGCAACGGGCCTCCTGCTGCTCGAGGTTGCATGAGGGACTATAAACAGCAGCGTGCAGCAGCAAATACTAAAAGAGCTGCTGCACTGCAGCAACAGCAGCTGCTACGTAACAGCAGCAGCAGCAGCAGCAGCAGCACGGGCGGCTGCTGCAGCGCGAGCAGCAGCAGCAGCAGCAAATAAAAGAAGTCCCCTTCTATAGGGCTAAAGACAAAGGAAGACGAGTATATATATTCCTAAATACGTGTGCTTAGCTGCTGCTGCTGCTGCTGTTATTGCTGCTGCTGCTGCAGCTGCTGCTGTTGCTACTGTTGTTGCTGCTGTTTCTGTTTACTGCTGCTGCTGCTGCTGCTGCTGCTACAATGACCGGTGGAACAACAGGAGGTGCAGCAGCACAGCAGCGCAGCAAAAAAAAGAAATAAAAAAATAAATTTATTTATTTATTATTTTATTATTAATTAATAAATAAAAAATACTCAATTTATATACAACTCTTACTGTATATATACCCTACCAGCAGCAGCAGCAGTAGCAGCAGCAGCAGCAGCAGCAGCAGCTGCTGCTGCTGCTGCTGTTGCTTGTGTGTCGCGGGGGCTGTAACTGTAACTAAGGGACAGCAGTAGTAGTAAACAGCAGCAGCAGCACGAGTTAGATCTTATTAAGAAGATAATTAAATTATTATAAAATAATATATAATGCATGCATTAAGACAAGAGGTGCCTATACACCCCAATTATTTATATTTATATTTATATTTATTTACGGTGTATGTTCAACTTGCATGCATGCAGCAGCAGCAGCAGCAGCAGCAGCAAATGTTTATTTTTTTTATTCTTTTTTTCTTTTTTTTATTAATAAATAAATAAATAAAAAGTTATTAAGGATAATACATTAATTATATTATATCTATATTAATAAGTTAATTAAATAAATAAGTAAATAAATAAAATAAATAAATAAATAAATAATAAATAAATAAATAAATAAATAAATTTATTAATTAGTTAGGTGTCTTTTATCCTTCGCATGCATGCAACATCTGCTGCTGCTGCTGCAGCAGCAGCAGCAACACCGCACAATATCTGCTGCCTGCTGTAATGCTGCAGCAGGAATACCCCACACTATCTGCTGCTGCCTGCTGCTGCTGCTGCCTGCTGCTGCCTGCTGCCGCTGCTGCCTGCTGCTGCTGCTGCTGCTTGCTGCTGCTGCTGCTGCTGCAGCAACAACACATTTAATCCTTACTTAAGACAGTCAGCAGCTGCTATAGTAAGGAGAGGCCTTATGAGTATACCTATAGAGAGGCAGCCTGCTGCTGCTGCTGCTGCTGCTGCTGCTGCTGGTTCTGCTGCTGTTGCTGCTGGTGTCTTGTACTGTCTATAGCAGTAGGTCTACTCTCTCCTACAGTTCTAGCAGCAACAGCAGCAGCAGCAGCAACAGCAGCAACAGCAGCAACAGCAGCAGCAGCAGCAGCAACCCCACCCTTGAACACACTAGTCTATTCTTTAAGAACTGACTACCCCTTCCCTACAGCCCTCCTACCTAAATGCAGCAGCAGCAGCAACAGCAGCAACAGCAGCAGCAGCAGCAGCAGCAGCAGCAGCAGCAGCAGCAAATGCATATTAGTTGTTATAATGAAGGAATTGATGTTTTTGTATATAAAAAAAGAAACAACAAAGTTATATAAAAATAAATAAATAAATAAATAAATATTTATTTATTTATTTATTTATTTATTTATTTATTTATTTATTTATTTATTTATTTATTTATT